GATAATCGTCACGAGCGAGCGACGATCCGGATCGCTTTGGAACCACGTCTCGATATCAATATAGCACCAAACAAGGCTCCCTTCGAACACGCCGACGCGGAAGCCGGCCTCGTCGGAATTCCAGTTGTTCTCGGCACTGATCCCGTGCGAATCTACGCAAAGTTTGTATGCGTCGAACCATTCTCTCAGGACGACTCTATTTTGAGCAGCGCGCCTTTGGATTGCCCTCGGCTTTCCTCGCATACGTTTGAAGAGGTGCGTGTGCGTTGTGAGCCACTTTTGCGCCCATTTTCTGGTTACGTCTTTCGCAGGCGGACTCTCGCGCTTGCTGACGATCGAGGTGACGGCTTGAAAGAGTGTGAAGTGTGATGGCGCGGCGTGCCTTGTTGGGCAGACGCAGCCATGTCTCGTTTGCACCAAGGTACTAAGCCCAACGTGGGGTACAAGTCGGACGACTTGTACTTTCTCGTCCTTTTGGCCTAGTTGGATTGGGCTTAGCTAGATGTTGCCAGAGCCATGACACTTCCCCTTAGTGGTGCCACTAAAAGAAAACCTGACCCGACTGCAAGGTTTGCGTTACTACCCCAGATGGTAATCAAACCTGACGTTCAAAGCACAAACTTCCGAGATTGGCGCTAGCTAGTAAAATCTACTATTTTCTACCTTTAGATTTCTCGTACTGGGTTTGGCAGTTGGGCTTCGACATTCAACCCGTTTAAACGCTTTAGGTAGGTAGGTAGGTAGGTATATTTAACGTCTGTAGCGAGTGCTGCCTCACTCTGGCCTCCCTAGGGGCATCAGACGTGCTAGCGACTACCAGGTGTTCTAGATACAGAGTCCAGCCCACCGACTGCTTGTCACGGTAACTAGCAAACCAAGCTCATCAGCCGACCAGTGTCGGCCTTAAGCACATGTATAACAAGCCGCATCCCGAGGCCCCTGACTGGCGGGCCGGTTCTCGGTGGTAGTGGTACAGGGTGCCTCGAAGCACCGCTAAAGATGGCGGAAAAGAAAAATGCAGGCCGGCCGCTGCGCGGTTTAAACGCTTTAACAATATTTGTTACCGACATTACAGTACTTCGTCCCGAGACAAACAGTTAACTGAATATAACAAGGAGGGGAACTGTTTACAAAGTGATAGGCGCAACTTTGAAGAGTAAATCCTGCCTAAAGTGGACCGTGCATTATATTCAAGCACCATTCCATGACAACCTTCAACTTGTGTGATAGCTATGAGCGATCAACCATAAAACCAATAAAAGGCGGAATACGGCACGCTGCTCTTAGGCACAGCGCCCTCTGTGCTGCAACCTTGACCAAACCCACCCGCAGTGATAACGCGGTACACCTGGCTCTGGTCGCCTAAAGTACTGAGCCCAGCACCACTGTCGTTCAGGAGCAGCCATCTGACGGCTCCAGTGCCAAGGACACCTTTGTCCGCAGCGGGAGGCTGAGACACTGACTGTTTAAGCTTAACAGAAAAGCGCAGGCTCCGCTCATGTAAGTCGAACGTCGGGGTTCCCGTGGCGTCAAAGTAGTGGTGGCCCAAAAACTTCAGCCGCAGGAGCCCGAGGTCGAGGTCCGCCGGCGCCATGAACGGGTCGACATCCTCGGCGGCACCGTAGGCCGCCGGGGGCAGGCCATCGTTTGGTTTTTCAGGCGTTCCTGGGCTGGCGGCAGTCTGGTCGACGAGATTTAGGGGTATATTTTGCCCCCACAGTACTTTGCTTGACAGGCTTTCAAAACCTGCGGCTGTGAGTCCGGTTTTCGGAGTCCCAGGGTAGAATTCCGTAACATCATAAAGGACGGCGAGGGCCCCAGCAGCTATCGACGTGGCGCTGCCGCTTGCGCATGTGTAGTTCTGAATACCGTGGCCGATTGCGATGGCCTTGAGGGAGCTAGCGGGATTCGGCGCTGGGAGGTCGACGGCTGTAGTTACAATATTAGGGCTGTCATATTTTCTTATTGCATGCGTTCTAAAATGTAAAACCTACCTCCTGTACTGGGGAGTGTTGGAATTGTTGCATCTGGCCTCGGTATACATGGCACCGCAGTAGTTGCCAGCAAAAATGTGGCAGCTAAAACGAAAAGTTTGGGAACCATTATTGATAGTTGATAATACTGTAGCTGGTTTGGTTAAAATATAAGATTACGACTTTGGTTTGACATGGAAAATATTGCACTGTCAACCCTGAAGAGCGCGGGTTTGTACGGCGATATTAAATGGTCCATCAAACTTGGCTGCACAAAGCCCACGGGTCGTAACAGCGTGTCTGGACGCAGGAAAAGCCAAAACTTCATACTGAACGAGCATTCCCGCCCCACATTCCTCATACTCTCAGTATCTCAGCTGCTTCGCCGGCCTCCTGGCTGCTAGAACAGGTGCATTTTTCTCCCATGGTACGTATTTGCTCAAGGGTAAACGTCTGAAATAGAGTACTGACTTTCGCCAAGCTGCCAAGCCGGATGCTATCATCCCACCCTCCCTCCGCCGTCTTTTCACCCTCGTTCTTTGGAGTGGGGATCCGAGGCGTAGTGGTGGAATGCCACCGGGGGGAATGACGAATTGAAAAGGTGCCAAGGAAAGCCTTGCTCCTCCTTCCACAGCCTTTTTTAGCTTCCTATGGCGTAAAAAGTACCGCTATACGACGGAGCATCGGTTACGTACCACACACCCTGGGCTAGCCTATGACACAGATCAAACATTACGCCCAGCTACCTAGGGATATCGGGGAGAGCGGGCCTGGCTAACTAGGGTGGAGTGGAGCAACAAATAGCTCCGCCTAATGGAAGGAACTAAACCTTGCTCTAAAACGACTTTCTTTCAATATGAAAGGTCCGGTTTTACGGTCCACCAGTCCGGAAACATCACTGGATCGAAAAAATTGGTTAAGAAGAACGGTGTCCGCATTGTGGCTTAGCGGACCCATAATTGGCGATACGGTATTTGGCGTGAACGGGTTGGCTGCTGTTAAATGGCTGGTGGATGGGTGGAGAACCTCACTTGTGCTCTTGGCATCCGGGACCACTGCGGTAACCGCCAAACCATTGATGGATAGGGTAAGGTGGTTTGTGCAATAGAACGTAAAAAGTCGATTCGGCAATGTAGTTCGCAATGGTGCAGAGATAGAAGCAATTGTGCATTTTTACTGCGAGCAGTTCTAACTCAATCGCTCATCCACGTTGTTCTAATAAAGGATGATGTTTCTATTTGTTAAATCCTCTTGTCAAACTTTTTCAGCACCAAGAAGATTGTTCTCTCTCCTTTCCTCCTTTCTGTGCACCGATTTTGCCCCTTCTCGTTTTGCCACCTGGAGTTTTCTCGATCAATCCATACGGCACCATTGAGTACCTTCGCATTTGTCATCTGACACCTCTCCTCCCTTTTGATTTTGCATCCGTCGAATATAGTGGAACCCATGCGCAGCCAAGGTCCGCTGTTAATTCGCCAATGTTATGGCGTGGCGGGCCCTTGCGGGCTTCCAGCCATTTGCCCTACCGCAGAGAGGAGTTACATGACCTCCGGTCATGTGACGCCACTCATTGACAAAAGGCACTCGCGTGGCTCCGGTGCAATGCACCGCCTTCTACTTTTTTCCCTAGTGTTACGACGTGGCATTTGAGCCCTCGACTTGTGCAGAACGTATGTGAATATTAAGCTGGAGAGGAGAAGAAAGGTTGAAGGAAAGGTGTGGCCGAAGGCCGCACCTTTATCCTGTCAGTCCTTCCTTATCTAATCTCCAGCCAATCGGCTATCAACTCTATCAACTACCACTGGCGACGCCGTGCCATAACACCTTTAAACAAAGTTTAAAGTCCGCTTTAGCTTATCTAGAGCCTTTTCCAGTCTTGGGCCGCGTTGTACGTTCAGCTCCCTCGCAATTAAGTCGGCCTCCTTCTCGCCAACCGCCAAAGCCGCGCTGGTCGTGTTGCCCGCCACGTTCACCGGCACGGCGCTCAGGTGTGTGTCGCTCGCTTGTGGACCACGTTATGTATTTATAAAATAAATAAAGTAAGCAAAAACTAATAGGATTCAGCTAGTCTTCTCCTACACTTCTTAAGGGAATCCACTTCCTGTATTCTTCTTCACCAATTTCCGTTTCGAGGATTCTGGAGTCCCGGAAATCGGGTTTTTCCTGGTTAAGGATAA